GAGGAGGAATTCTGGGAGTTGAAGTCCACAAGTCTTAAAGCTGTCAAGTTTGAACACCCCTGGTTTTTTTTCCCCTAAAGGGAAAAAGGTGCAAGGGTCCTGTAACTTGACAGATTTAAGACTTGCGTGCTTCAAATGCCAGAGTTCCTGAGCCAACCTTTTGATTGCTAAGCAAGAGCGTTGTTAAGTGAGTTTCACCACATTTTACAAGTTGGCCACGCCCACCCAGTCACGTGGCTGGCAAGCCACTCCCAGCCGGTCACATGGCTGGCAAGCCACTCCCACCCAGTCACATGGCCGGCAAGCCACTCCCACAAACCAGGCCACACCTACAGAAGAGGTTCTAAAAGTTTTTTGAAACCCACCAGTGCCTTGATTAAATGTTCTCACTATCAGGAAATGTCTACTAGGCTGCTTCTCTCCTCGGTTAGTTTCCATCTTGTCTTGCCTGTAGTTGCTTTGGAATTATGGAATAACAGATTTGGACCCTAATTCAACCCACTACATGGGCAGGAAACCCTACACCAGTGTTGGCGAAGCTTTTCGGCAGCGACTCCATAAACGGAAGCATGCGCGTGCCAGAAATCAGAAGATCGCATTCCCGGTTCCACTGATTAATTGTCGTCATTGTTGTCAGGAATTTTTTGGGAGAACTAAGGGGGTTTTGTTCCCTTTTTTGTCTGACTTTAGTTCTCAAGGCAGCCCATTTAGGACGCTGCAAAGGAGACCAAAAAATAAATAAATCTGATTTTAATTGCTGGTTTCTCTTGGCCATCTAGTGAGATTCGGACTTCGAAACGGAGAATCTGTGTTGCACATAACAAACAAACACACACACACACACACACACACAAATCCCCCCCCAAAAAACAGGCTCTATTGAACTGCCTCCAATTCAAGGACTGATCTTGCCTTGCCAATTTGATTCAGTAAAATTCCCGGCTTGGAGAGAGTCAATCCAACGGCTAGGAAATCCAGGCCAATCCCGCCCGATCTCTTCTCCAAACCACCACAACAATCACAAAGAATATTGCATGTTATCTTTGTGTAGCCTCTATCAGGCAGATAAGCTTTGGGGGTGGGGGGGTGGGGGGAGAGGAAACAACCACTGATGCCTTCTTAGGAAATTGTTTAACCAGGATATGCTAGGACTGTCTACACAACTGGTTAATTGTTCACCAGCTACAGAAACCAGTTTGAGCAAGAAGTAAAGAGACAACTTAAAACATACACACACACACACCTCCACCAAGAAGAGCTGTGGCAAGAAAGGGAAATAATAAAGAAAATATTAGACTGGGAAGAATATGATGGACCAATGATGGCATGCATGCCATTGGTGGCACACGGAGCCCTCTCTGCTCTGGGAGACGCGTGCGCATGGGGTCACCCCATTTTTGGTCCCAGGAGGCTTCAGGGAGGCCTGCTAGGCCCAAAAGGGGGGTGCCGGGTGTGTGTGTGCGCATGCATTGTATTATGGGGGTGGGCACACATGCACATATGTATACTTTCCATCAGTGTGATCAGTGTTGTCACTGTGAGAGTACAAACGCTGGAATTAGAGCCGAGGTGGCGCAGTGGTTAAATGCAGCACTGCAGGCTACTTCAGCTGACTGCAGTTCTGCAGTTCGGCTGTTCAAATCTCACCGGCTCAAGGTTGACTCAGCCTTCCATCCTTCCGAGGTGGGTAAAATGAGGACCCGGATTGTTGTTGGGGGCGATATGCTGACAACCGCTTAGAGAGGGCTGAAAGCCCTATGAAGCGGTATATAAGTCTAACTGCTATTGCTATCGCTATTAAAGAACAAAGGAGAGACAGATTTGGAATAGATTTTACCAATGGTTGGATTTGAGGAATAGAAGCCGGAGCTTCTAAAAAACCAAAGACATGTAAATCGAAAGAAGATGTACTAATATAGCATGGAAATGTAGCATTTATAAGGGGTCAAGTAAGTGCATATCATTAGTAATGTATGCGGGAGTATATAAGATATCCGTGTTATTCTTTAGTTTTGTACGGCGAAGATGACGCCAGGACGGTCGCAATAGCAATAGCAATAGCAGTAGACTTATATACCGCTTCATAGGCCTTTCAGGCCTCTCTAAGCGGTTTACAGAGAGTCAGCATATTGCCCCCAACAATCTGGGTCCTCATTTTACCCACCTCGGAAGGATGGAAGGCTGAGTCAACCCTGAGCCGGTGAGATTTGAACCGCTGACCTGCTGATCTAGCAGTAGCCTGCAGTGCTGCATTTAACCACTGCGCCACCTTGGCTCTTCGCACTATGTCCAACTTTTATTTTTAACAATAAAGAATATTTTTGGGGGGTGGGGGGGGAAAGAAGAGCTGCAACATCTAACCACCAACATCTAGTTTCGAAAATTTCCTTTCTGGGGGAGGGAACCAGCTCATTACCCCATCCCGGGAACCAGCCAATTATTTTTTTTTCTGCAGTTTTAAAAGTCCCCACTTCCACGGAGCAGGAGGAATAATTTAATGAATATAAATGGTCTTTTTTTTTTTACCCTCTTTTTCTTCGCTGGCTGACAACTGCTTGGATTCCCTTCCTTGCAAAAAAGAAAAAGAAAAAAATTGTGTGAACTCAGGACAAGCCCCACAAAACACACACACACACAAAGCACATTTCTCCTAGCCAAAGCAGCCTTGCCAGCTTTGCGTTCTCTTCTCCCACCCCCTCCTGCCTAATATTCACCCCTACACAACACACACACACACACACACACACACAAGCCGTATCCTGCTCCCATTTTCATGAATGGCTGTATTTTCCGCTCGCTCTCTTCCTTGCCTCTCCAGCTAATCCTTCCCAAAACCTTGGGACCTTGAACTCGGTGATTAGGTCTTGTGTAATCCCACCCCCAGGAGAGAAAACAAGGAGGGGGGGCCCTGCACAATCTTTTGCAAGCACCCCTCCCAAGATCACAGTTCACACCGAAGCATCCTCAAAAACAACCCCCCCCCCAACACGCAGATGGTTTTGGGAGAGGAAGGAAAAAGGCCGGCTCGGCTGGGGGTGCCCGGCTCAGATTTTGCAACCCCAGGTTGCCCCCATGGCCTCCGTCCTTTTAATTCCTTCACCCGCCTGGTCCCCTCCAGCAATGTTTTCACTGGCCGCCAAAGCAGGCCTGGGAATAACTTTTTCAAGATGCTGAGCCTGAATTCAGAAGGGGAAAGTTGTTGTTGTTTTGTGTTTTTTATTCTTCCTTCTCTCCAGTGCCAGAGAAAGGCTGGATGGAGCTGGCATGATTTCCGGAGAATCTGGCCCGCGACGCCGATGAATTCCTAACTTTGGAAGTCCTCGTTTCTGGCTTTCTGAAGCGCTCCGTTTCCGCCATGACGTTCGCCGAGCTCCTGGATCAGATCGGGGGCATGGGCCGCTTCCAGATCCTGCAAGTCACCTTGCTGGTGATCCCGATTTTATTAACGGCCACCCATAATCTGCTCCAGAATTTTTCAGCCGGGATACCCGACCACCATTGCCGGGTCAGGCTAGTGCACAACAACGGCACCGATGCCCGTCCCAACCGGACTCAAATGCCAACCGGCGAGGAAGACCTCTGGGGGATTCCCAAAGATGCCAGCGGGCAACCCGAGAAATGCCTCCGGTTTGTGGCCCCCGAGGGGCCTCCACTGAATGCCAGCGACGAAGTTGGTGGCAACGGCACGGCGACTGAACCGTGCAAGGATGGATGGGTTTATGACCGAAGCATCTTCGCAAACACCATCATTATGGAGGTGAGAGGGCAGAGGTGGTGGTATAGTGTGTGTGTCTGTGTAGAACAACAATTGGGTTTGGGTTTTGTTGAGGTTTAGAAGTCCAGTTTTGAACCCCTGTGAAAATCCAGCCTCCAAAGTGTTGAGTTATCTTTGGTGGGTCGCTAAATTTTGGAAGGGGGGAGAGATGGCATTCTCAGAAGTAAGCCCGCGTTTTGAACCTTCTCCAGGACTCGATGGGTTGGAAGGGATCTCCAAAATGTCCCCCACACCCCCATGGTTGCAAAGGAAGCTTCCACAGAGGGAGGTGACCGCAATTTTTGTAGGGGCAGGGAGAGAGAAAATCAACATGTATAAGACTAGGATTGTAAAAACCAAGATTCTGGCAGAGATTTTCTTCCTTTTTTCCCTTCCTCCATGCCAAGTGTACAGAACAAAGAATGAAAGTGTTGGAAAGGAGATTGGGAGGTTTCTAGTCCAGCCCCTTGCTCCAGCATCCAAGGCTTGACTTGGTTTAGATCAACAGAGTCAGAAGGGACCTTGTAGGTCATCTAGTCCAACCCCCTGCCCGAGTAGGAGACTATACACCATTTTTGACAGAGGGCAGTCCAGTCTCTTCTTGAAAGCCTCCAGGGATGAAGCTCCCACAACTCCTGAGTAACAGAATAATAACAGATTAACAGAGTTGGAAGGGACCTTGTAGGTCATCTAGTCCAACCCCCACTACACTACACCATTTCCGACAGAGGGCAGTCCAGTCTCTTCTTGAAAGCCTCCAGGGATGAAGCTCCCACAACTTCTGTTCCATGGGTTGATTGTTCTCCCTGTCAGAAAAATCCTCCTTATTTCCAGGTTGAATCTCTCGTTGGTCGGTTTCCATCCATTATTCCTTGCCTGGCCTTCAGGTGCTTTGGAGAATAGCTTGATCCCCCTCCTCTCTGTAGCATCCCCTCTATCATTCTGGACAAATGTCTGTCCAATCACTTCTTAAAAACTTCCAGTCAAAGTTATCTTGGCGTGAATGTATGATGGCTTTATTGTAAGAATCAGGGACTTTATGCAATCCCCCCCCCCTAATTGCTGCAATTGTCTAGGAAGGGAGCAATGGTATTACCCATTTATCCTGTTCTCTTTCTAGTCAGTCGAAGAATTTACACACCTAAACCTATGTTTTTAACAGGCATTCAGTCTCAGAGCTGAATGAGATGGGTATGGAGTTCACCGAACATCCTTAACTAGGATGCAAGGAGTGAAGTTAGAAGATCATGTGAAGGAGAAAGAGAAGAGATTCTACCAGCTAATCCAGAGAGGGTTTAGATTTAACCCTGAATAGATTATTCAGCCCTGGAACAATTTGTCTCCAGAAGTTGTGGGTGCTCCCATCACTGGAGGTTTTAAAGAAGAGATTGGATAGCCATTTGTCTGAAGTGGGCATAGGGTTTCCTGCCTGAGTAAGGGGTTGGACTAGAAGACCTCCCAGGTCCCTTCTAACTCTGTTTGTCCTTCCTTTCTTTCTCCTTCCTTCCTTCTCCTCCTCTTTATCCTTCCTTCCTTCTCCTCGTTCTCCCCCTTCCTCCTCCTTCTCAAATTTCTCCTTCCTTCTTTCCTAGAAGGTTTTTAAGAAGAGATTGGACAGCCATTTGTCTGAAATGGCATAGGGTTTTCTGCTTGAGTAGGGGTTGGGCTAGAAGACCTCCAAGGTCCCTTCTAACTCTGTCCTTCCTTCCTTTTCCTCCTCCTACCTCTTCCTCCTCCTCTTTCTCATTTTCTGCTTCCCTCCTTTTCCTCCTCCTCTCTTTCTCATTTTCTCCTTCCCGCCTTCCTTCCTAGAAGGTTTTTAAAGAAGAGATTGGACAAGTTTGTCTGAAATGGTATAGGGTCTCTTGTTGAATCAGGGGGTTGGACTAGAAGACCTCCAAGGTCCCTTCTAAGTCTGTCCTTCCTTCCTTCCTTTTCCCCTTTCTACCTCTTCCTCCTCCTCTTTCTTATTTTCTCCTTCCTTTTCCTCCTTCTCCCTCTTCCTCCTCCTCTCTTTCTCATTTTCTCCTTCCCTCCTTCCTTCCTAGGTGGTTTTTAAAGAAGAGATTGGACAAGTTTGTCTGAAATGCTATAGGGTCTCCTGTTGAATCAGGGGGTTGGACTAGAAGACCTCCAAGGCCCCTTCCAACTCTATTGTTCTATTAAATTAAATGTTCTGCTCCTATCTTCCTATGTTGTTTCCCCCCCCCTTCCTATTGTTTAAGTAAGTTTATGTTTTTGTAGCCTTTTTCCCCCTGTTGTTTCTACTTTGGATACATTGCGATTGTTGCAAAACCCCAGCAGTTCTTTGAAATATATTTATTAAATTTATGTGGACGCCTGTGGCGCTTTCCAGAGTGACTCTGGGCTGCCTGCAAATCGAGGACATCAGTCATTCCCTCACAAGTTAATGCCCCTGAGGCTGTCTTGATTTTATTGGCGGGCTAGATCCGGGGGGGGGGGGATCTCCAAAACTTTGGGTGACTTTTAAGACTTGCAGACTTCACAATCCTAGCAGAGATGGCTAAAATATCAGCATATCTCAAGGACCATTCAAACGAGAGATA